GAATATATACCGAATTTGATTCGTAAAAAAATCTTTTCGACGGCTCGGAAAGTCCAAGTCGTCAACAACAGTCAACATTCATTCTTGGGAAAGTCATTGCAAGTAAAAGCGTTCGAATAATTGTTATTAATCGAAATGAACAACGCATAAAACTCAAACTCTGAAATGAATGTTGATTCGGAGAAGGTTCGAAAACTTAATGAGAATTCTGCAAGGGAGAAACAAGGAGAAGGCTTGCGAAAAAAAAGAATTTTACCTTCTAAGCATTCACGGAGTATTTCTTAGAAGAGTGAAACATTCGGTAAGTTGAGGATAACGTAGCGAATGAATACTTCAATCCAAATTCATCTTCATTTCCTATCGACTGACATCGTGCAATAAGTGTAATGCTGTCGTGTGAGCGAAGCTAAGCGACATTCAGATTCCTAGAATAAAATATTCGCACAAGAATTCCAGCTCGATGTGCTAACCAGCGCTTGATTGATTTTCTGTTTAGTCGATGGTAATGGACAGACGCTATTGCGTTACTATGGTACAACTGTTTCAAGAGAAAAATTAGCTGATTGATGAAACATAAATTAGAAAAATAAAAATAAATTAGCTGTACAAATTGTCAATTTTAAAATATTATTTTTTACTCTGTGAATACAAATAAACGCGATGAGAATTTAGTCGAGCGGCTCATGGAAAATGAACCGCAACGTCACTCAACTTGAATTGTTTGTTCTCAATTCTTATTCACTTGATGTGAAAGACAATGATTCACGACTGGATCGCATTTTAAAAAAACTGTTAGAATAAAATTGATCATTACGATGAATGAAAAAATTCCAGCAAATGATAAATAAGAAAAAAACGATAAATAAATGCATTCAAAATAAGTAACGCAATTTCGACCTAACAATTCTTAATTGACACGAGAGATTTGATGAGCAATAATGACACTGTTCAAAAAGAAGTTTTTACTGGAACGTTGTTGTTGAACAGTGTACATTTATAAAGTGGTTAAAAGGAGACTCTATTTCTAGGGTTGTTTTATCGTGCAGAAAACGAACACGAACTCAATTTCTCACGAAATTATCTCGTTTTTATAAGACTATCAAATCGAAGTCTTCAAATTTCAAAAAAGTACATAAGTATGACTATATCAGAGTTGTTAGTAAAGTACGACTATGTAGTTGTACTTCACCAGCAACTCACAGGCACCATATAAATGCTGCTCAGTATGCCGTCTGATGATGACTCATTGATGTCATTCATGGAACTCACTGCACCTATTGGGCACTCAATAAAGTAGATCTCATACTTGATGAAAGATACTTCATAGAATCTTTTTACTTAGAAAAGATACTTAGAGTACCACATAGAACGTTCATATGGCAGTTGGTACTAGTGTGTTGCAGAGATCGGGGGATTTCGGGGACCTCCTCCTGGACTTTTTTCGAGCCGGCCACACTTTCAGGGTCCCCGACTACAAAATTTCGTTCCTGATTTTCACCGTCCTCGACTTTTTTCCGTTCCCGCAACACACTAGTTGAAACCGTTTAAAAGTTACCATTCAGAAAATTTTTTCATAAATTCGAAAATATTTACTTGGAAGTTTAATTGGGGAGAAAAAGGTTTTACGCAAAAAATACGCTATCTGTGCGAAAAATAGTTTTAGAAAGCGGTAATCTTGTTCCTGACTCAGAAGCCACTGTTAGGTAATATGTGTTTGTAGTAGTGGGAACATTTTACTTGGAATTTACGAGAAAATGATGCTCAGTCATGAGAAGAAGTGCACATTTGGCCATCTACATAACCCAATTCATATCTCAATTCTTAAAAAGAAGTTCAATTTGTGCTGAGTAAAGTAAATGTAAGCAAATGGACTGTGTATTCTGAATATTCACGAAAAATAATCAATCACAAATGAGCTTCATAATGATCTGAGAGTGTCGTTCAATCAAAACGGTTCAATCACAAACATGCAGTCTCTAATAAGAAAACAATTTGCTTGTATGTCAACAACAACAATGTAAATTAAAGCAATCCCAACGAAAGATTCATACTTGACTGAATTAATGCTGATGGATCTGATATTCTCTTGAGCACGATAGTGAGTAGCCAATAAGAAGACTTGCGCGATCGGATAATTTAATCACTCGTTGTTCTCCCGGAAGAGATCGCGATGAACCAGGAAGTAGAAGAGGCACGCTCGTCGTCGTATTGATTCCTGCGGGATGAAGCATGAGCTGAGTGTTTGGTGGTATAACTTTGATAACAAACACCACACGCATACATATCGAATATTCATTTTCGAATAAATCAAACATAACGACAAATAAAACGAAAAAGCACTGCGATCACCACACTGAGCGTACGGCACAACAAGCAATTGAAGGATATGGTCGAATAATGAATTCAGTCACTGCACACGAATAACAACAAACAAATTCGCATTGACGAATGCGATTAAATTCATCGATGAACCCCACAATCAAAATCGTTTTTGTGGGGAAGTGAAGTGAATTCAACAGAACATTCAGAAAATAATCAACTCAACTCGAGTGGCACTACTCGGCATTGCGATGGTGATAAGTAAATATTTTTCAGCAACCGAACGAACGCATTCGAAATCCACATAATTTTCGTTGTTAAGTGCAAATCGAATGAGTGCATTCGTCTCATAGTTGGTGCGACTGAAAGTGTGGTTTTGACAGATTATGAGAGATAAATTCGTTTCAGAATTATGAGAGATAAATATTATTCAGCACTCCGCAATGATTACTTTTGAGACGTACATAACTAAGTACACCAGAGAAATAAACTCTGAACCACTTCATGTTTGAACAGAATGAACTTTTGAGTCTCGGTTTATTTGTTCAGCATACAATATCGCAGCACAGGCGAAAATGCGAATTTTCATCGAAAAAACGCAAACCAAATACACATGAGGATTCTGACTGACAACAAAAAATTGAGTTGGATTTCACGAAAATTTTCAAAAATCCGAGACTAGAATGATGTAACTGGTTGCATTGAAAGGATATGTTCACATGAGAAGCATTAAAAAAGAATAACAGCATTCAAAACATTTGAATGCCGCACGGACTCGCAGCATTTAAAAACGATTTGAAAATGCGATATGAATTTGAGGCACACGCATGAAATTCGCTGAAATGCGCGATATGATGAATGGGAGCTTATCTATTATTCATGAAAAACATCCTTAAGACATGTGCATCCAGTCGATATTCTGAATGATTTTATTTCGATGTGATCAACAACTGCTTTCAAGTGTTCACAAGACTCTTTCGATTCACTTCGTTCTGAGTTGTTTCAGCAATCACCAAACACCATAAACGAAACATCCAATGCGCAGTTTGATGAGTTTAAAATAATTTCCTTTTAATTATCGGAGTTAAGCATACAGTAAAATTTCACTCGAGTAGCACTATTCAGCATTGCGATGATTATTAAAAATCATAGAATGAAGTTGATATAACTTCCTGTCAACGTGAACGTCCAAACATTATTAGCAATAACTCTTCGAATACTTATCAAACGAATTTAAAAGTCAGCACCAGGATATTGAGATATGAAATTTTTATGCGTCAACATGAATCGAACACTATTATCCGACTCATATGTCTCATTTGTCAACTTGTTGGGTGACTGTTCCCTGACCACAAAATCAAAATGCAAAAGTTTCTACGATGAAGTGAGGACCAAAAGTGGAATGTTAAACAGTGTACCAAATAAACTAATAACGGAAAAAATAACGATAAAATGATTGACTCGAGAAAATTTTTCGTCGTCAATCGCAAAACGAGTTTTGCTAAAGCATCATAATAGCCCCTTTCATAAAATCATCAATGAAACACTTACGAAGGAAGCCAAGCTTGCTAAGTAGATAAAAAAAATTACATTGCACAACATAATTCTCCAGTGTCATGCATGTAACGTACATGATGAAAGGTTTTGGAATGCGACATACTAATTGTGAATTTCGTAACCCAACACGATATGCGTCACTGTGATTCATTGACGCACTCTGACAGTTCACAGTAGAACTAGTAAACATTGTTTGGAAAGGGATGAATGCGTGAGATAAAAGAGTATTTATCATAATGTTTGAAACTGGTATTATTAACATCAATACGTAACGTGACATTTGGGAACCTAAAGCCAACACTAATCGGAAAAAAATCACTTGAATTTAAGATCTCCTCGGCTTAATATTGGCTTCAGCTCAAATACTTTTAGGGTCCCACGTCCATCTTCAAGACAAATAAAGGGTGACGAGATCAAAGGACTACGGTTCCATCAACGTACATGCTCTTGCATAAACTCCCTTACCTCAAGCACAAATTAATCCCAGATATTGAGATCGTATGCAATGCTTGAACTATCCACGAAATTTTTCCATTACGTATTGAACGACCGTTGCCCGTGAAGTAATGACACATTATGGCGTTCAATTATCAGCAATCAACTGAACACTGACGAGTAAAATGAACGAATAAAATGAAGATCAAAGAATTATATCAAACTGTAAAAAATAATGATGCTAAAACAAGCAAAATTTATGCAGATGTGTATAATGCATACAGCCGAAATGTATGGATCGATCCAAAATGTGCGCTGACTACGCTTCACATGCATGCTTCCTTTCATTTGTGTTCATAGACTCGTGCACATGCATGCTCCTCATTTCCAGTGTCATTGCGTGAACAGCCACATTCATTTAATGACCAGTTTTCGGATAAGAATGGTTGGGAAAATACGACTGAAATGAGGCAAAAACTGATGTATTCCTTAGAATTATAATATTGATGCGGTCAGTATCATCAATTCGATTTGTACTAAATCGAACAGCTATAACACCTGCAATGTCCCAAGAAACATTCTCAAATATTTCAAAAATAATTGATTTTATCCACATACCAATCGTATCCTCTGCGAAACCAGCGGCACAATAAAACACACACACATTCTAAAAGGGCACTACAAAGGCAATGCAGGGATGGAAGACGTTGGCGATGCCCTATCTTATCAACGAACAACAACGAGATGCGAACGACCTCTCTCCGAGGTTAATTCCATTATTTTTTTCATCCTTTATCACTCGTTTTGTATGTTTGATTATGTATTTGTTTTAAAAGCACTTATGATGGGAAAAAATGCAGTCATCTTGAGATGAATTTGATATACATGAAAATCTGCATATTATGTGCATATATCTGCATATAATGGAATAATTGAATAACTCAGAATGAATGTCCCGCTAGCACTTGAGTGGCATTTGCGAATCCAAAAACTGAATTCAGCCAACATCTTAACAACAGCCAGAGCAGCAGTTCAGTCGAGCCTCAATTACGTATCATAACTGACAGGTATTGCTTGATGTGAGCAAATTCAATGGGTATGAAAATGTTTTCGTAAGGATTCCCGTGGGTAATTCGCCAGTGCTTATTTATTCTTTAGCAAACTGCTTTAATCACCTTATTTTATAATACTTTTGCTATTGTATTATATTAAGGAGTACCTTACTTAATATGAATAAAATTTTTATTTTACCACCGCAATTTACAGCTCACCATCATTATATTCCACCATTCCCCACAATGTGCACTCCACAAATTACCCTTACGCGAGTAAATGATGAAAGTGCGACTGCAATAAATGAAAAAGTGATGAACTCATTCGAGGATAATAATATCATTGGAAGAAGTCAAAAGACAGCAAGTCAGGAGAACCAAAAAACAGGCAAAAATATGATTCTAGCGATAAGTGTATGATGACCGATTGAAAACTTTGATATCTTACGTGAAAGCGATAAGAAGTTGAAATTATTTGCTAATAAAACTACTGGAAGTAACTAATGAATTCCATTGAATGTAATGGAAACGATACGAATAAATAGTTGAGTGTGCGTTACGATGCTCATTTTTGAATAACGGGCAGTGGTGCCTAAACTCCAGAGCCAAAAGATTTTTTGGCTGTCTCTAAAACGGTGTCACCTCGACATTCAGTAGTCGAATTTGGAAAAAAATTGACCCGGCTCCGACTCTAGTTCCACATTTCCGAACTTTCGACACCGGAGCTAAGACCTGTACAATAGTTTTCTCCCGGAGTCGGATTGCTCCGGAGCAGATCAGAAGAGATTCCAAACTGGAGCCGAAGTCGGAATCAAGTCCGGAGACGGTTTCGAAAACGTGGAGCCGAATTTTGGATGGAAAGTTTGGAAATGCATAGCTGGAGGTGAAATTATGAAAAGTGCGTAGCCATAGCTGGAGCTGGAACCGGAGCAGAAATTTCGAACTGCCAAGCCGGCGTCGAAATTTCTAAGTGCGGAACTGGAGTCGGAGCCGGTCAATTTTTTTCAAATTAGGTGTCGCTGATAACGATTAAGAGAGTAGCAAAGTAAAATGCAAACGATGCGCACCAATCGATAAATGACATGACGTGACAAAACCTCAACACATACATCAGCACATTCACATTTGCACAAGAAANTACAGCGAAACCCTCAATTAACAGAAACGCGAGTAGCTGAACTCAAAAAACACTCCCGCACGCATTCTATTTCAATAAATTTATTCCGGATCAACCGTCTCTGAGTGTGATTCGGTGTCACTTACCTACTCGATATCTTTCAGCGTCTCACTCTAGTATTAACTTATGCAGATAAAGGCATTCTATCGAATGCGTTAAGCAACAAGTCATGTTTAGTGAACTATGGCATCACATCACATGGTCTTGCATGATTCATCTCAGTGACGTGATTTGTGACCTCTCGAGTACCTGAAATTTTACTATTTTCGGGCACTTCTGTTTAGCTGATTTTTAATGTAATCTATTCCAAGTTTTTGATGGCACTCGTTTTCTATTTCACGATTCAAATTTGAAACTGGATATGACTCTCATCATAATATTACTAAAGGTTCACTGGAACTGTCGTCTTTATCCGTTGAAGCTTCACTCATCTGCCTAACGTACGTGATTAAAATGGCTATCACTCATGAACAATGCTGGGATGGTTCGATCCATATAAGCAATGTGAAACGTTGCATAGGAGAGGGTCATTCAGTGCTTATCCTTATGCGAGGTGTACCTGGCTCGGGGAAATCTCATCTAGCAAGGTACTTGTTCCTTCGTACATTCTTCTACTTTTCTTATCTATTCCTTAATTTCCGTTTACGATTGTTACAAATTTCAGTCAATACAGGATGTTGACTGAAAAGCGCAGAGTTCTTATCGTTTTTTGTTTTAAAAGACATTATTTTCTGCAAACATTGTAAATTTGAAATTTAATCTTTAAACACTGTACTTGTGAGCAGAGTGAAAAATGTTAATGTTAAGATAATTTTAAGTAGATTGCTTTTAAATGACACTTAAAGACAGCATATAATCAGTGCATTTGTTTGCAAAGGTATGTTCATAACATTTCGATTTATCGATATTTAATCATCTCGTGTTGTTGATTTGAATGAATGTGATAAAATTTTAGAGAGTTAGTGAATGGAACGAAAGGTGTTATACATAGCACGGATGATTTTTTTGTTGAAAATGGAGTGTATAAATTCGATGCTAACAAGCTTCAAGATTATCATAGCAGAAATTTGAAAGAAGGTTGTTGTTTTTGAATGTCATCGATGAAATGCGTAACGCCTGAATGAGTTAACGTCGTGCGCATTTCAGCAAAGAAGTCGATATCAAATGGAATAACACCAGTAATCATCGATAATACGAACATCTATTCCGCTCATATGAAACCGTATATTACACAGGTGCAATTCTGTTCTCATCTTCTTCTCTTTAGTTCCTCCGTGCAATTGGAACGTTGTATAGAAAGATGTCATTCTCTGACCGAACTTCCAAGAAATTGAAGCTTTTCAAGCGATCCATTGCAAGCAGTTGGGTTGGATTGGGTTACAACATTGACAGTGTTTAACGCTTGCTCACATTTCAGTAAGGTCGATATGATTTTCGAAGCTGACCTGTGAGAGGTGAAAATATCAAACAAATCATTTGCCATTAAATTAAAACTTTGGTTCAGTTCATTCTATATTCAGGCGGTCAAATCTATGTACGAAGTGTATTTCGTTGAACCNTTGGAAGTGGTAAAAATAACAATGAAACTAGTGATAATAGAGGCAGAAGACACGAAAACGTTTTAGCGATGCAAAATTAGAAAACATTTGCAATTGTATATTCACCGTACCAAATATTCTCATTTTCGAGATGTATCTTATTATCATATGTTATTCAGTAATAAGAATGTGTACCTTTAGTCATAATTCATGATGATATAAGGAGGAAAATAGCGAATTGATTCGTGTGTAAATGAACATTTGAAATTTATTGAAGTGCAGAGCGTTGCGCTAATCACTGAAAATCCTGTTCTTGCAGACGTAACACACATTCGATTCCTGCAGAAAAAATAAGTTATCTGTTGGAAACTTTCGAAACGGTTAATTTACAACAACTCATTAAACCAGTTTATTTAAGGTTCAATTTTATTTCTTTTTTTTATTATCCTTTGAATGTGGCTTTGTATTTTCGTCAGATTCTCTATTTTCGTCCGTATTTTCGTTTTTGAAAATTCATTTTGCGAAGTTTTTAAAGCCAGTTACCTAAACGCTGATAAGTTTTACCTAATTATTAATAGTTTTTAGGCTGCAAAATGTTATTCTGCAGTCAATAATTATTTTAAAGTAGTCGTTATTTTTCTTGAATGAGTACGGATAGAGGAAAAATCCGACCGTTTGAAGTTCATTTGGATATTGGTGAGCAAGTGAGAAGGGAATCCGCAAGGGGTAATCCGTTTGAAGTTTGTCAACAATTCGATGATTCCGTTTCAGGCTGAAACCACCGTTAGATCCACCCGCGGTTGATGAACTCTCTTCAATTGCTAATGACTTTGCTAGATTTTTCACTGGTTAGTTCTAAATTCACATATTCTTCTTCGATGCAATTTCCATTTGAGTACTTTGAACAATAAACAAATTATCATTTTTTTAATGTAGCGATGTACAGGAGCACAAGAGTACTCCTTTTAATGTACAGGAGTATGTTATGCTAATTTATAGAATAACATTAACATGCTTCATGCGTCGGGCATGATTTATTTCACTGAGAGAACGGAAAAACAATGAATTGTAATTTGGTATTGGAAAAAAGCGGTTGAATATGTGGTGCGATTTATTATATAACGCGAAATTATTCTCAGTATGTCATTAATCAGTGTGTTTCAGTTATTATCGCATTGATCCCATGAAAAAGAGGAATCGTTTCAGGCATAAAAGAGTCACAACTTCAGAGCGGTTATTCTTCAACGAAAAGTGATCACCCTCACTCAAAACAACTCATACCATGGAATACGTTTGCAATTCCAGTCAAAAAACTGGTACCAGTGCCCCCCACAGATGATTCCTGTTCTACCAGCAAGGGAGTCAATCTGTGTGGGGGCACAAAAATTGAAAGCAAAAAAGTTGAGCAGCCAACAGAGAGCAGAAAGAATAATGGCCAAAAAAATACATCGAATCCAAAATCCAAGAAAGAACCAGCCAATAAGCAAATGTTGTCATTGTTACCATTCAAACAGGTTTATTTTTAAAGTTGTAAAATAAATTTTTACGTTTTTTTGGATATGTAAATGAAGAATGGAATGTGGTGCATAATTTTTGCACTATGCTAAAAATGTGTTGAAGATATGCTTATATGGTAGCGTTTGTTTCGCCCAATTTTATTCACTTGATGAATGAAACTTTTCATTATAGTCGAATGAATAAAAAGTTTAGTTATTAGTAATTGACTTACGTGATCCCACTTTTCACTTTCATTTACACTAGTGATAATGATAACCAAACGAAGTTTGCCTTCGGTCAGAATCCGATAGAAAGATTTCGAAATTCGAAGACTTCGCTTGGAATCGGACGGAACAATTCTCAAAATTTCCAACCTTCGGTAATTCGGTTATCGAGAATCTGAAAAAGTTTCAAATCCGAAAATTCAGTTGGATTTCANAAAAAAAAGCAGTTGTTCGTAATGTGTGGTTATGTTGAATTATGGACCACCACTCCATAATTTTTCGAGGACTCAGACATAAATGCTTCTTTGAATATACTACCAGATTGTTATGTTCGAAATATTGTAGCCATCAAATATGCCAAAAATGTCGATAGGCATACAAACGAGTGATATAATTGCGTTATTGGATAGAACAAATAGTATCGATGAAGAATTGCAATCTAAATTAATCATAAAACCGCAGTTAACGATTATTAAACGATTGAATGTTGAACAACGTATCATACGCAAAGATCGATCGACTCAAACTTGGTGAGTTGACTTTGAAAAATGATTTTATTATGTACTGATTGTATCGATGCGTATGTTTCAACTTTATTTATCCAATTCTCGAGTTACTTTCTTTCGGTTGTCTCAATTTTAATCTTCAGCTCCGACAGTGTGCCCACCGAATTGGATCTTTTATTAGCGCTTTTCCCCGAGGAAGCACCCGCCGACCTTGCACAAGTATTGGAATTGGGAAACATTGATGTAGCAGTCCGTATTTTCCGTGAAATTGGTGCCAAAATGAACGTTTTTGCCCATTTTGATCATGTATCTTGGTTCATTTACTTCATTTTCTTTCCATTTTCATTACCCTCCAAGCCGAAGTCGAATAAAAATATACGAGGTTGATGGAGCATTCTCGTTCCGAATCTCTAATATTTCCTTGTCTCTTCCCTCCTTATATTCCTATATTTCTTTTAGCAACTGTGCAATTTTTTTGTCAATCGTATACTTAGTTGCGAAATTGCTGCCATCTTATCATTTATTAAGCACTGATTATCTGAGTTGTACTGATTCATAAGGCAACGAGTCGATAATGACGAAACTGAAGCAACTGAAAATTTAGTAACGTTCCAAAAATGGAAACTACAATGGCCATGCAACATTTCAACAACCTCTAGAAACCACCTGGGTGCATTTCAGCCTCATTCGCTTGAGCCAGTTTCCGAATTAAGTTGAGAAAGAGGTGAAGTGCGCTCAGCTGATTTCTATAGATTACCTGCAGTTGCAGTGCCATAATCGATTTGTCTAGCTGTAAATATTAGTCGCACTTACTGACTGTTTATTTTTACTGCCTCGATTTCGGCTGCCATTTCATGATCAGTATGATAGTGAGTTGTCAATAATCGTATGTTGGTTTTGCCTAATCAGCAACATCCAGCTGTGCGTCCGAACATACCAACAACTAACAACACATCATTCACTATCACTGATTGAATAATTAATTCCCAAATTGAATTTTGAATTGACATTGTTATAGGTGGACGTTGGTGCTGAAGATATTCTATTATCGAGAACTTACGAACGCAGTCGCGTTGATTCACCCGGAGAGCAGCAACAATTACCAGTTGTTAACGCTATCCACGCATCTGCTGATAACAATAGTGATTTTCATAGAAAACCAATCAGAAATGGTTTTTATCGAATGCAATTATCCACTGACATGATGCAAAATCTTGGGCAACTATTCGGTTCGTTATCATGCTTTAGATTCCAACCTATAAGCCAGAGATTGATTGAATGATAGAAGTGGTGCTCAAACTTCGAGAAGTTGTTTTTGTCATTGGAAGTGTCTCATTGAGTTTCAAATATCAATGAATGTTTTGAATTGTGGACAGCAAAAATGAAATTTTTGTTTGAATTAATTTTTCCAAACGATCTTTCACTGTAAGATAGTGTGTTGATGCATGTTACAAGAGTACAGTAAGAGTGATGTATAGAAAAGTGATGAATGTATCGTGAAACGTTTAAAATTTAAGGAGATCATGATGAGTCGCAGCGAAAGAATACCAATTTCGTTGATTTACCTCTGTGGCAGTGGCGTCAGATCTACCAAGCCTGGCAGGGATTACCGGTCACTGGACGTCATGGAGGTTAATTTCCATTTATCACATCGCTTTTTATTCCGTTTTCTTACCTTTCAACTCGATTTTCTGATAGCATTTTACCGTGTACAGTTTCCACATATCTTCAGCCATTTTCGTTGCTGTAATCCATATTTTTGTAAAAATAAATGAAAATATGAATACAGAGTAAATCAGATAAATCAAATGTCACTCGGGAATAATCAAATTAGGCGAGCGTTCGAGTGAAGTAAATCGATTGTTATTCTCTAGAATTGGTCGTTTATGAGGATTTCGACGATGAATTTCCTGATACGCTGAACCGTATCAATGAAGAATTCATTAGTCAGAACAACTTAAATTCATC